CCTCGGGCGGGGCCTGCTGCCCTTCATGCGGCGCCAGCTGCAGGTCGGGTTGCGCGACTGGGTAGTCGCCGGGATCCTCGTCGCCGTACTCGACGTTCAGGTAGCTCATGCATGTCGCCGTGAAGAGGCCGTGGATGTTCATCGGCAGGCCGACGTCGCGAAACGTGATGTCTGCCCCAGTCCATCTGGGGCGTGGGGGAATATTGCTGGCACGAACTCCTTGAACAGCAGACAGAGGACGTCAGCTCGAGTCTCCCCTGGCCGTGCAACGGAAATCGTATGATCCTTATCTCTCTAATCCCCTGGCGCGCGCCGTTCGGGCAGCATTCGAAACGCCACGCACTGAGGAGAAGCGTCCAATAATGTATCCATCACCAGGTTCCTGAACGCAACTGCCTTGGCATCCAGAGCTACGCCTGGCACAATCACCAACTTCTGTCGAATGATCCGCCTGGCAGCCTTTCGCAGCAAGCTCATCTGGCCAGCCAGCCAGCCTCAGTGAAAACGTCGTCGCTATAAGCCCCGATATATCTGCCGCGTGCATGTCGTAAACCTTAGTGTGAAATCCAGCCACTGTGTGTACCCGACACAGAAGGTGTAGCACTGCCCATCCTTCACGCTCAGGCAGTAGATGGCGCTCAGCCTTCAGATTTGCCGTGTACCCGTCAGTGCAAACAATGCGAAGCCTCCTGAGGATCGAAGCTGCATTTGTTGTCCCAATCGAATATTCTGAAAGAGCAGCCATGTAGTTTTTGCAGAGTTCCTATCGCACACCTGTAGCCACGATAACATATTCCCACGGAGAATCGCATGCCATCAACCTTCAGCAACAGCAAAACGTTCGTGTCCATCTGTAGTACCTTTTTTGTGCCCACTGTTTTGTCCTCAAGAACGACGGTGTTAGTTCCATCTGGCTCCTGTCCAGGAGGGGCCCCGTGGTCCACGATGGAGCGTTCGTCGTCGAGCGTCTCGGTCACCGTCTGCGTATTCTGCAAGACAAAGTCGGTGCTGTCATAGCTGGCGCACTCCACGTGGCACAGAAGCTCCGCTCTCTTGGAAGAGCCAGCGTAGCTAACCAGTAGCTCCTCAGCGTGTCTCCAAACGTTGCGCTCGACCTGCGGCGGCGTCTGAAAACAAACCGCCGCTGCATCGCGATCTGGTTTCCCGTGGTTTTTTAACCGGCCTGGGGCCGAGATCGCCCACCAAAAAACAAATCTAAATCGCAGCGACGGTTTGCATTTCAAACGCCTCTAAGACCTGCAACGCACACCCTGCCATGATCTTCAGCGTATCCCTGTACTTAGAGCGGTTTACGTCGAGATAACGCGCGTTGTTGGTGATCCGCCCTGTAAGCGGGTTAACGTCCATAACTTCTGTGGCCATATTGAAGATGACTCGTCGAGATCGCTGTCGGGCACGTGCCTGCGTGCATGCGATGCCCAGTAGACATCCTTATTCACCTCTACCTCTACGGGGACCAACGCCATCTCATGGTCACTCTCGTCGCCCACGTCGCCGTCGGCAGAGCAGTCGTCGCACGAGAGGGCGTCCACGCCTGCCAACCTGTCGTCTCCATTTGGCTGCGGCAGCTCCTGCCCGGCGTCAGCTCTATCGCTGAAAGCCAGCTCTGAAAGCCAGCTCTCGCCCACATCGTCGTCGACGGCCGTGTCGTTGCCAACGTTGCTCAAAGCCGCAAGCCACGAGTCATCCGCGTCTGCCATGAAGGCAGACACGATCAAAATTGTTATGCATGCGTACGTGCGTACAAGTCGTACGAAGACATATGGAGAATGCCGAAGGTTGAGCCAACACGGCTACGTTCATGAACGAGATGTGTTGTCTGTTGATTGCCAAGGTTGGTATTTCAAGGCTGGCTGCCTGGTAGATATTCCTCATCTCTTCGTTTATCTATGTTTGCCTTTTTGGATTCTTCTTAGATATATAATGCACTGTGCCCCCCTCCATCATCATGTCTTATCTCTGGGGTTCTCAATCCGCCTCCCCTCTCCCTGAAGTCACATTCCCTCCCTCCCCGATGTCTCACTATTTTCCAAAACCTACCGCACGTATGGATTTCGGCTCCGATCGCCTGACAATGTTGGACTAAGCGTTCGGGTCACCATACTTGTCCGTTTATATCTCTGCGCTGGCACGTCTGACACATCGCGAACTCGCCCTGAGCCATTAAGCGCCCCAAAACATCCTGCCCTAGACACCCCGCCGTGGACGCCCCCAGATTCTCAACCTATGCCTTTAGGAGTACTGCATGCGATCTGTAGCTAGATACGCCAGCCCCCATATGAGGCCACCCAGCGCATTCGCTCTATAAGGCCTCCCCATGAATTCCCCCAGCCCCCGTACATCCGCCAGCCCCCCCATGAGGCCCCCTATGAGTCCCCTCTTTAGGAGTCCCGCCTGCACTCTGAAGATATATCCGCCAGCCCCCTTTATGAGCCCCCCCAGCGCCTTCACATATCTACTCGTCTAGCCCTTCCTATAACATGCATCTCAATCGTCGGTGCGTCGGGGGCGCGCCCGTCTGGACTTCTTCCTACGCTGAGACGAATGTGTTGCGTTCAAGACATCTGATTGTTTGTTTTTATATATATATATATTTTTTGTGTTTTTGCAGATGCTGTGCAGATGCTTTGCAGATGGCTTTGCAGATGCTTCTTGTTTTTTCGGTGAGGCCCTGCAGATGCTCTGCGGGTGCCCCGCGGGAGGCTTGCAGGGAAATTTCCGAAGGCCTGCGGATGCTTCTGCGGGAGCCTGGCGGGGAAAAAAACAAAGGGTCCCTGATGAGGCCCTCTAGGGCGCCTCGCCGACATCACCCTAGATCTCCATGGGTTCAACCGCCTCCATGGGGCTCGACCGCTCCAATGGTTTGTATCACTTGAAACATGCTTAGGACAACGACTCGACATATTCAACGACACTGATGGGTGGCCCCCCACCCCACTTCGGCGGTACCACGCCCACTGGACCCTCATTGTGATGCACCTAAGACCTGGCATGGATTGCATGATCCACAGTCGGGCAAGAGACACCAGGAGATGAGGGCATCACAATTGATCATCATGCTTGCCCGCTGTCAGCTCTCGCTCCTGTGGAGCCCCATGCCTAATCACTAATGCATTCACTCGCCGTCCGTTGCAGTGACCGCAAGGTGACGGGCCCCAAAGCCGCTCAAACCTTGGAGGCGCATCAGTGTTGCACACACCCCGAGGAGTGTGTTCCGCTTCACCTCTAGGCAACACCAGACTTGGTCTGTGAAGAGCCGCTGTTCCTGTTTTGCTGCATGTCTACGCCGGACGTTAAAGGGCTGAGCAGCCTTGCAGGAGCGCGGGGTTCTACGTGCTGACAGTCGCTGCGCCACCGCTGCTGTCGTCTCCAGTCCTGTCCTGTCTCATCTCTGTTTGTTTCCGGCTGGGCGACGAACCTCTGCCCTAAACCCCCAAGACGAGGAAGAATATGAACATTAGAAAGTACAGGACGAGGAGTAGGAAAGGAGGTCGACGACGACGACCACCGGCAACCACGACGAGGTTCTCGGGTGTTCCCGAGTCGCCCTAGCCTTGGCCGAGTGGGCCCGCGAGGGGGGGCTGGTGGACATCCGGTACCAGGCGTCCCTGCGCATGCCTGCAGGCGCGGGGGTGAGGCGCAGGCAGCAGGGGGAACTGTGTTGTTGATGATGCTGCTGATCATGATGATAATGATCATGATGATGCGGATGATGATGATGATAATGCTTATATTGATACTGATGCTGGTGATGATGAAATGATGTTGCAGATGATGATGTTTAACTACTGATGGTGATGCTGGTGATGATGGTGGTGGTGATGGCGATGCTCATGCTGTTGTTGATAATGACGGTGATGATGACGATGATGCCGACGAAGACACGTCGACGGTGATAATGATGAGTGTTGTGATGATGATGACGCTGACGATGATGATAATGATGATTCTGATGATTATGACGGTGAGGATGATGAGGATGGGGACGCGGACGGTGATACTAATGATGTGGTTGATGATGAGGGTAATGATGAAGATCACGATCGGCATGATCATACTGGTAAGTATTGTGAGAACATTGATGTTGTGGGCCGATGATGACG